ACTTACTTGGAGGATCCAAATCCTAACACAGAAGGATTTCAGTAGAAACTTGGGTTTAGGGGTAGGGAAAAAAGGCTCTTTCATAAAAGCTAACAGAAAAACTTACTCAGAAACTAACTAAACAGCAGGCAAGCCTTTAGGAGGTCTGTGTTGTAATGAGCATCTTCCCTGCGCATGAACATATATTTGAACTCTGTGCAAATTTTCAGTCTAGGTGTTGTTGAGAACTGTTGCAAAAGTCACAGTGTCAAAGTTTAAGCTGCACTGCTCACATCAGTTCGTCAATGTAAGTGGAAGAACAGAGAAAACCTGGTGCTGTTCTCAGTGACTTTTGAACTTCCAGCCAGAACTCAGCAGCTTCTCTGATGTAGGTGGTACCAGAGTGTCTTATAAGTGATTATTATACCTTATACAGCCATCCTTACCATTCTGGCATTTTCATGAAACACCTTTGTAGTCTTCAGAGTGACTGCTCAAATCAGCAAATGTCTCAAAACATACTTATGTTTAGCCAGTTGTTCCGGATGTTAACTGCTTGTTAAATTTCTTTGAGAAGATAGAGAGAGCACAAATTATCCAAATACTATTCCTGGGTGTTATTGGTATGACGGATTTTTCAATTTTCTATTTCAATTTTCTATTAAAAACACAGCAAGCCAAAAAGAGGGATCAGAACATCTTGAACACAGCATATCTAAACTCTTGCCATTTGAGACAATGACATTTTATAGGTTGGAAGGAGAGGAGTAACAGAGTAGAAGCTAATGCACAACTTTTTTCATTAAGTGAGGCAACATACAGGAAACACTGATTCAGCATAGTTGTACTGAAACTTAAAAATACTTCTATTCATTGTTTCTAGTATCAGAAAGGAGACAAAGAGCAGCAATATTATACTTTTCACTTTGATATCCTTAAGAAGTGTATAGACCTAGATGAAAAAAGTGAAGAGTGTAGGTTTTTGGAAGATGAAGAAAAATGTTCAATATATCCCAACCTTTCAAGAGGCAAGTAAAGCATATGGGTATAGCATGTACACTCCTGAAGGGATGTGCAAGACTTTTAAAGGATGAAGAGATGCAGCTATCCCATAACTATCAGTGAACAGGGAGGTAGAGAAGTATATTACCTATGTCATCATCATCATCATCATCACATATTACCTATGTGAGAGAGCAAGTAATGCACAGAGACAGTCCAGCAGTCTAGGCCCATTTCAGAACAGACAGAAAAAAGTATGCAAAAGTAGAGCTCTCTACATGATGGGATACTGCATGGGAACTGTTGACTGCAGTACTGACACTTAAAGCTCTATGTTTTTATTATCATGGAGTGTGGGATGGTAGGATCAAAGCAGTATTGTCAGATTCAAATCCACTAAGATGGTTTTGCAAGAAGGAAAAAACATCCAGTTTTGAAACTGCCTTCTCATGTAATTCTTTTTTGGGCATTTTTTTTTTTCATCTTCTTTGTTTGTTTGCTGTTTTTTGTTAGTTGGTTAGTAATTTACTTGAAATAATCCTGAGTATAAGCATTTCTTGCTCCTATCAGAATTATAATGAAGAAATATTTGAAGAGCAGCACACGTGATTCTGAGTTTGCAGCCCTTGGAGGTAGGGACTTTGCACCCTTCTCATCCATCTCAAATAGATCTGCAATTTGTTTCTTTATGATTGTTTTCAGTGGTTATAAAACTTGGGCTTTCTATTTGCCTTACCGTATGATACCACAAAACAGACTCGTTCACAACAGTCTATATTTACACACCTCATGTTTGCTCAGCACTATAAAGCAACAACATAAAAACAAGCAGCTACAGCAGTTATTACAATCTCCAGTTAGTAAAAGTCAATCAGCTTTTGGCCTCATGACATAACATAACAGGTTATCTTCAGAAAGAGCCATTCCCAGTGTGTGGGTTGTCATCATATTGTGATGATTACTGATCCAGTTCCATATGTGGTGCACAGTTAAGACCACAGGAGATGACAATGGAAAAATAGAAGAGAGCACAGAAGTTTTAATGTTGAAAAGCATAACAGACTGGATGGATTTTTTTACAGTTACTTTGTCTCACTTCTTTCTGATTCATAATACAAGAGCATTATCCAAACAAATAAGTAAGCTCAAAAAATGCATAATAAAGTATCATAATCGAAAGGATGATGGAAAATCTCTCTCTCCTTCTCTGTTTACTGGAAATGCCAATACATGACTAATAATGCAATCTGATTTAATGTTATTAAAATAGAGAAGATAATATGCTTAGTTTTGTTGTCTTCTACACTGTATGATATGGTAAGATTTCAAAAGCGTGTGTATATAATCCTCCACCCCAGAACCTTCCAGTAAAACAAAAAGCTTTCTTATAAAATATTTTTGCAATGAAATATCTGCTGTTTGGAAGGTTAAAAAATGAACTACCTAAAACTTTTTTAAATTGTCATCCTCAGAACATGTCAATTCTATTTAATAAACTATTGTTGCCCTCTAGTGTTCAAACACAGCTTGTAAAGGCCCCTCCAGAAAGATCCAAACTGGTCACCTAACAATTCCCAATTTGTTCTTAATCTGACACAACCAGTGGATGGCAAAAAAAAAAAGGTTTAAGTGTTTCAGTACACCTGCCTAATATCTTATTGTCTTTGCTCAAGCATAAAAAAAGGTTTTTCATGTAAAGTTCTTTTACTCAAGTATTGTGAAAGGCCACTCACCAAATTAGTTATGGTACTTGTGCACCTTTCTGTCTTACTTCTGCCTTTCACTGTGCTTGACATGCATTGCTGATTGGGTTGGAGGGCAATGTTTTAATATTAGTCAAACTGTAGAATCATAGAGTGGTTTGGGCTGTAAGGGACCTTAAAGCTCATCTTGTTTCAACCCCCCTGCCATGGACTGGGACACCTTCCACTAGACCAGGTTGCTCAGTCCCATCCAACCTGGCCTTGAACCCTTCCAGGGATGGGGCAACTGCAGCTTCTCTGGGTAATCTTCTCCAGTGCCTCACCACCCTTAGGAAGAATTTTTTCCTAACATCCAATTAAAACCTACCCTCTGTCATTTTTAAAGCCATTCCCCCTTGTTCTATCACTATACGCCCTCGTAACATGCCCCTCTCCAGCTAAATACATGCCCAGTGCTCTGAACAACCTTGAGATGTATCTGCTTGTCTTCTCTTGAACATTTTGCTACTGTACTGTAACTTATCAATTAACAGCAACCATCTTTCCCTCCAACAAATTACAGCAGAAATGCACAGTGAGGATTCAGGGGTTGTTCTCAGCACCTCTCCTGCAACAAGCTGCTGTGAGCTCACCTGCAATGTAGAAAGCTACTCATGAAGTTTTAGTTCTTATGAGAGTAAATTATGGTCAATCTAAGATCTGCATCTGCATTTTTACAGCTAGGCCTAGTACTTATCAGTCTGTGAACTAATTTCCTAAAAATGTTGTTTCCTCTTATCATGTTCCTTGACCAGAAGCCTCTGAAAATGTCTACTAAAAAAAAACCACTGAGGTTAAACAAAGTGCAGTCAACAAACAAGCTGATGAATTTGAGATACTTTTCTTTTGCAATTTTGTTCACCTTTAAGAAGTTATCCAGAATGTTTTTCATTTACAGAACAGCTGGATTTTTCCCAAAAAGCAATGTGCAGCACCCCCCACAGTAAGAATTCAACTTCTTGACATTTCTTTGATCTCTGAATGGAATTTTCAGTGAATTTTCTTAGAGCTTTCAGAAAACTTGCCTTGAGGCCATTTTTGGATCACGCCTGCTTCCCACCACACTAAGCTTGACAGATCTAACAATCTCTTGGATGTGAGTCACATTTCATATTTTGTAATAGAATTGTTCCCTTGCACTCAGGAGGCACCCTTCCTTCTCTGCCATGATGTTTGTTGTTGATTATGCTGCCTGGCATGGATACTTTGAAATCTAGCCTTTCATTCTAAAAACAGGTTTAGACTGAGTGCATGCAAAGGGAAATCAAAATAATATGAACTGGAAGTTGTGGAGCAAGCAGTAGATGCTCACAGGCCCTCTCACTGTTGCAGTCAGGGAAACACAGATAATCACAGAATTGTTTAGGTTGGGAAAAAACTTGGAAGATCATCAAGACCAACCGTTAATAAGTTGCTATACTTATTACCAGTCACATGAAGAGGACCCTAGAAGTGAAGCGGGTGTGCTTTGAGAGCCAGCAAGAGCTCTGTGTGTTCAGGAGGGACAGCAAGTCCAGCACTGACACACACGGTCCTTTCGAGAGCCACTAACGAGGGAAGCAGGTGAATGCCAGAAGCATGAAGATAATGCAGCCTTGTCCATCTGTTCCTGCTGACTGCAGGAAACCTCTTTGAGATGTGCACCCTCCAACAACATAGTCACCATTTTTCTCTAAAACTTTTTTACCTCTTGGTAGATGTTCAGCAAAGGGAGCCCACACCTTTCTGTGTGTCTTCTGCCAATAATACAGCTGTTGTCCTTGCTAAGCCCACTCACAGGTTTCTCCCCCTTCTTGAGATGTTGAGTCTCAGCGGTCAGGGATTTAGGTGTATTAGAACAAATTCTCTGTCGTGCATATTCCAAGTCACTTGGTGATGCAGTTTGTCACAAAAGACCTTGACTGTAGCTTGCTTTACTTTCGGAAGATAACTTTCTCTCTGATACACATTGCACAAATCCAAGCTTGAAAAGGGCAAATTCCACTCTTTGGAAAAGGCCAATTCAGATTTTTAGTATGTGGTTTTAAGGACAGCTTGTGATGTATGCAGAAAAAGAACTTTGAAGATATGTATATAACTATAAATTATATGTAGAAAAGGAAAATTAAGCTATGTTATATGTAATATAATTTTTACTGTTTGTACCTAAAACCATCTGGATGCAAAGCTCTATTAGTAAGTATTCCTTTAAAGCTACAAATAGAGTAAATAGGATTGCCAGGCAATCATGTAACACTATGGCATTTGGTGCAAATAGCACTGAAAACACCCACGTGCTGCACAGGTACTCAATTTATTAGGTGTACTTCTATTTCACTAATCTTGTCACAGTACAGATTAAGCTCATGAAATGCTTTTTCTCCTTAAATATAAGACCTTCTTAGCTTAACTTGGATTTGAGTGTTTATTCTCAGGATTTAGTATAAATCAAAAATGATAGACATTATAGTTCAGCGTAGAAAGAGCATTTCTTTTCCCCACCAAAACCATGTCCTGCCTTCTGCTTTGCCATTAGAGGAGAAAAAAGGAATCCATCCTTTTCTGAGATTTCAGTATCTACTGTTCCATTTCAGAGTTGCCCTCTCAAAAGTTACATGCTCCTCAAAATTTTATTCCCTCTCCCCATCAGACATCAGAATACATTCCATTGATCAAGTAATCCAGCCTGGTATAATGCCTCTTCTGAAGAGATTCATGTATTTTCTTCCCTGTCAGTGCAATAACCAGCAACAAGAACATCACCCCAAAAAACAAAGCTGCTAGAAGGCTGCTTTTCTCCCCCAGCTGAACAACACCTTTCCCTCTCAGAACACCCTCTGACAGGTAGCTTTCTGAGTCAGATGGGTCATAACCCTGAAGGTCATTTTGGGAAGATATGGGGGAATCACTAGTAGAGAGAATGAAACCTGAAAAAGAGGAGAGGGTTACATGGCTAGTATCATTGGAAGAGACAGCTGCTGGCTCAGGAGATGTGGTTGGAGTCCTTAGCCCTGATGGAGCAGTAGCAGATCTGGAATTTGTGGTTGTAAAAGTTGTGGGACTGGAAAGAGGAACACGAGTAGCAGCGATGCTGGTGACAGGGACATCAGGTTTAGCTCCAGTGGCTGCGGTAGGCGGAGAGGGAGCTGTGGTGGTGGTGATTGTAGGTTCAGCAGCACCAGGATGCAGAGAGGTTGTACGAAATTCCAACCGGGCCGTACTTGCAGGCAGAGGAGTAAGAGTAGTACTGCTGGTTTCAGGAGCACTAGGCTGAGTGGTGGGGAATGAAGCAGTGGGGTTTCCAATGTGAACAGCAGAAAACATGTTTGGTGGCAGATTAATTACTTTCTGCCTTGGGATGGAATCTAAGCTCTCAGACTGTTTTGCCCTTTGAGATTCAGGAAAATCTGTATGAAATTCAATGTTGTCTAAATGCTTACCTATGTGGTTCACGGGTTCAGATGCCTGATGAAATACAGATTGTTGCCAAGTGGCAGTATGATTCTGATGGCTATTCTGAGTGTGAGAAAAAATTGTTCCTGCATCCGAAGACAAAGAATACTCATTTGAAGAAAAGTTCTCAGTTTTGATAGATTTATCCTCTGGGACCTGGGTGTCTGGAAACAGAAATACCAGTATTTAATTATTAAATCTATTTTTGACTAATATAGGCTTACTCAATTTATATTACTTAGAAAGAGAGACATAAGGGAGCTCCAGGAAGTAATGACTAATGAAACTGAGGTATCATGAACTTCTTTTCTTTAAAATATACACGGTGACATTTAAATTCTACATCAAAAATACCTGTCAGCCTCAAGCCTCATCACATCAGACCATGACTGCAACTTCTTACAGAATTTTCCTCTGCAGTGATCATCCCAGTGTGATTAGTTTATACCTACATTGCAGCATTTATTTAGAGGTGAAAAGCAGAGTGAATAGGCTCACTGCCTTCAAACCATTCTCAGCCTCTGTGAGTTAAGAAGTAGATATTATCAATGTTACTTCTGTCAATTTTTTTGTTAGATGTACATTTCCACCTAGTTAATATGATTAGATACAGCCCTTTCTTGTAATGTCCAAGCACCCTGTGCCTGACACAATTCAATTCACATTCAAAAATTGTTTTGTGATACAAGGTGGCAATAACATCTCCATTTTATAGGACACTTTATACACATACTGATTTGTAGGAATGACCTGAGTTCCTACTGCTGTGCTTGAAGACACTGCTCCAAGAGTACGTGAGGTACTGGCAGAGAAGACCTCCATGAGAAGCAGACTACATTTTATAAATTTCTCCAGAAGCTCATATGTATTCCTTGCAAAACAGGTGGCTGATGTCATTTAATAGAATTTGGAAGAAGAAGAACAACAGTGTTATGTGACAGAAATACTATAAAAATTATAATCCTAGCAGCTACCTGATTTTACACAGTACTACAGAAAGTATTTGGGTGAACACAAGTTCTTGGAAATACCGGCTAATTGTTCATTCAGATTTTATATATCTATATATGTATATAGATATGATTTATAATTATATTTATAATATAAAAATACAATATATATTTATAACAATTCAGCTGCTGCACAGAACATTTAAAAGGGAACATGCTCTCAAATAGTTCTGACTCTCACTCATTTGTTTTTATCGTAGAAACAAAGAGGTTTGTTAACTGCAGTGGAATTGAAATAAATTTTAAAAAAGTCCATTACATTTTCATTGTCACTTTTTTCTCAAGTAGGATCTCTTATCTAGAGCGATGGATATATTTCAGTTTTACTTTACAAGCAAAGAAGCCTACTTGGCTGCTGTTTTAATATGTCTTTCCAAACCTTAAGATGCCACAAAAAAACCCCGAAGTGCAAAAAAAGCCAACCCCAAATAACAAACCAAAAAGCTAGCAATGCTAAAGAGTACAGCAAATACTTTATTTGAATCATGGGCACAATTTTATCTTAATCTTCCATCAAACATTGATTTTATAGTATTTTTTGTCTCCATTTTAAACTACAAGCTCCCAGATGCAGTGGCCCAAAACTGTCACATGCAAAGTACAGCTGGGGTATTAGGATAGATGTTTGTTGGTAAGAAAGAACAAGGGCACTATATGAATCAAACTTTAAAAGGAGCTGAAAAAAATAAAATGGTCTTTCTGATATGTCAAATCCAATATGCTTCATTAGAAACCAAACTTCAGGTTGTCACTCTTCAAAAACAAACTAAACACCTCCTGAGCATGTTTTAATTCACAAGCCATAGGTTGTTTCCATTCATTAACAGCCACAAGGATAGTCAAAAAAAAAGAAAAAGCTAAATTTTATTACTAATGTAGCATCAGTATTTTAAGTTGCTTTATTACCAATAAATTATCTTTCCCCCTTTTATTCTGGTTTTCAGTGTAACCACATACACATCCTCATATGAAAGAACAAAGTTTGAAATGTTTGTTGGTACTGACACTGCTCAGGTGCTACCTTTGAAAACTTATTAGGAACATAAGGTAAATAAGCTAGGATAATCTTTCTCTAATTCAATGTTCACAGAAGCTAAAAACTGCAAAATGAAAGAGAGGTAGTATATGCAATCGAGTTGTTCACTCAGCATCATACTATATGCAGAATGAAAGCATAATTGCATTTCTCGTTCCTTTGTTTGAAACCCTGATATTCTTGTAGGGGAGAAAGAGCTGGAGGAAAGAGTAGTTATAATAATAATTTTATGGGCATGCAGTTCATTTGTTGCACATTGCTTTTGCACAATTCCTGTGTGACTGTGCTTGCACAAAAACACTTGGTAACATTATATGAGTAATCTTTCCATATATCATGCTGTTGCTCCTTGCAAATAGTTCCTCTTGGAAAAGCTCTCTTTTTCAGCAGGAGTTGTTTCTGGAAATATGAAATTTTTGCTCTCTCAAGCAGCCATACTGAAACCACCTTGTAAACTCTTGGCAGGACAACCTAATTATCAGTTTCTTATCTGAGCTGTTCAAACAAGTCTGGCGCAAGTCAATGTCAATCGACAAACATGCCTTTCCATTAAAAATCCCACAGCCTATGACAGAGAGCGAGAAATTCCTGAGTGTGCAGCCCATATACCATAAAGCTTCCAGTTTAGAAAGTTTGCTTCTGCACTTCAGGTTCTCTTCCTGAAAACAGAAAATAATTATTACCACTGCCAATTATTCATCAGTGTAACATGAGCCCTTTAAAAAGGGCATGGTATTTCCACTGCTTTCAGTGATACTCTCCATCGTTACATCCAGGAAATCTTCCTTCTTGAATATATCAATATGGTAGCAGCTTCTTTTTGTTTTAAGCAAGGGCAAATGATGAGGAGTTCTCAATCTAATGTGAAGGAATTTTATAAGGGTCATGGTGTTATTCCAAGCAGGAAGCTGGGCCCACAAATAAGCTCACCACACACCTGCTCCTCCATTTTCCACAAAGCAAAGGAGCAACATTCTCAATTTATTGGGCTTGGCTTAGAACATTTTACTAAAAACACACAAAAAACCATTTTCTGGCCACTACTGAAAGTTCACAGGTGGAAAAGTCCTCTAGTGTGGGGGCTATTATTAAAATTATTATTATTATTATTATTATTATTATTAAATAATCTCACTATTATTTACCTGTAGTTATCTTGTAGCTCACAAGTCCTGTTGCAGGTTTCATCAGACAAGCCTCTGTGGTAGGGCAGTAAAAGAGGTAGCAGTTTGGATGTGCTTTTGTTCTTCCAGCATAAAAAATCATCAAATTACACTTCTTGTCTCCTGCAAAACATAATAAATGTGTGTTACAGCAATAAGAACTTTTATAGCAGTATGATAATGAGCTCTATTTCGTTAATTTTTCTTCATGTAAGAGGAAAACTACTAACTCATAACATCCCTACAGGAAAAACAGCCAAGGAATACAAAAGAATGGCCTACGGCCAAAATACAAAAGATCACACCTTCTTCTTCCTGTACAAATAAAGTTGGGGAAATGATGAGTCTAATCCCTCATCTTCCCCTTACCTGTACCACAATGGCACCACTTTATATAACGATTTCTCACTTACAAATCCTGATAAATCTGAAAACCTCCTTGGTAAACTCCTGGGGAAGAAAATTATTTATACATTTTTCCCTATCACATCTCAGGAATTGCCTGTCTTGTTGCTGCCTGGGAGGGTCACCTTTACCCCTGTAGTTTCTACTTGCTGCTTTGCCTCCTACTGCTCCAAGAGCTTGACGCAAACCAACCATCACAGAGAAGGGTAAGCATTCTCATGTTTTGCTAAAATTAAATACAAAAATGTCAGTGCAAAATATTGGTCACTTTTTAGCGCACCTACTAAACACAGCCTAGGCATCTTAGGCTTTGGGGATCTGAGTTTTTAACGCTTAAAACTACTACAGTTTCTATGATGCAACTAATTTCCTGAACACCCCGGGGGTCTTGCGTTGAGATCCAACATCACGCTTGGCTAAAGAGGGTAGCACCCGCAAGCGGGTACTATCGAAACCCGAATGAAAGGATAAATTGACGTTCCTGCGCTGAATACGGAGAACAGCGGCTGAGCACCACGCGAGCCCAAACCCCAGAATTAATTTCCCAGGCGCTGGTAGGCGCTGGCGGAGAAGGCGGCCGAGGTTACCTGCGAGCCCGTCCCTGGAGCAGCAGGCGCGGGCACAAGCCCCCGCGCTGGGGACGCGAAGCGGCTCCGCGCCCCGGACGCCTCGGGGCAGGGACAAGTCTATATCGATGATGGAATTCTCCATTTTCTCCGCGGAACACTCCTGACTCAGGGACGGCCCGGCCATCACACAGGTGATCACCAGCAGGCGAACGGACCACCGGCTGCCCCCCAGGGACATGGTGACCGGGGCGGGGGCTCGGCGCGGCCCGGGGCGCACCGGGCGGGTTTGTTTCCAGCTGCGCGGAGCGCTGGCGGCCGGGGGAGCCGCGCCGAGGTGCCTCTTCTGCTCCCCGGGCGGGGAGGCGTTTCTGGGGGCACCTTCGGGCTGTCCCCCCTGCCGCCCGGTGGGGGGAAGGCAGCAGCGGGGCCCAGCCTGGCTCGGCAGCGCGACTCAGGGGAACCGCGGGTGTCCCGGCACGTCCGGGAGGAGGGACCGCGGGAGGCGGGTCCGGGCCGCCTGCCTGCCCTCCTCCTCCCCCCCCGGCCTGCCCCCTTCCTGCCCTTCTGCCTTCCTTCTTGCTTACCTGCCTACCTGCCCTCTTCTTGCCCTTCTTCTGCCTTCCTTCTTGCCTACCTGCCTGCCTGCCTACCTGCTTGCCTGCCTGCCTACCTGCTTACCTGCCCTCTTCCTGCCCTTCTCCTGCCTTCCTTCTTGCCTTTCTATCTGCCTACCTACCCGCCTATCTGCCTTCCTGCCTACCTGCCTATCTTCCTGTCTGCCAGCTGCCTGCCTACCTGCCTATCTGCCTTCCTGCCTGCCTACCTGCCTGCCCTTCTGCTTGCCCTCCTCCTCCTTTCCTCCTCCTACCTGCCCTTCTGCCTGCCCGGCTGCCCTTCTGCCTGCCCGGCAGGGCTGCGGGGGTGTTCCCGCTCCTCCAGCTGCTTGCCGGCGCCAAGGGCTCTTCCTGAGCATCAGACACAAAGGCAAAACCACACGGTGAAATTCTTCGTTTGTCAGGCTATTGTGGTTTTGCCCACAGTCAGATCTGCTTTTGGAGGCTGTAATGAAAGTGATTAATATGCATATCCTGGACTAAACGGACATGGACGTATTTCCCTGTCTATCTAAGAGACTCCTTGCTACCTGAGTAATCCTGTTCTAACAGCCAAACACAGGGTGTTTGCAGAATGGGAGTTGTACACAATAGCCTGTCTACTAGGACCGGTGGCTTAGCCATTCCTCCCTCAGCTATCTCTGTGAAATTGCTTGCTTAAGTAATGTTTTTGCTTGGAAATTTTTCATTTCCTTTTTAAAATTTTTTTCTTATTATTTTTGGGGTGGTGTTTAGGAATAAAAGTAGCCCAGAGACAAATGAGCGCAAAGAATAAAAGGATTGTAGGACACATTCCTTCTTTTTCAGGAAAGAGACCTTTAATGTAGTTTCCTGTAAATAAAAAACATTTTCTTTTTAGAGATGGTACCTTACCTGAAGAGATACCAAAGGGCAGGTTATTTTATATATTATAATGATTACATGCCAAGGGATGGATGTTCTTGATGCCCAGTCAGTCCCCTTGGTCAACATGGCTGGGTTTTGGCTTTTTTCTGGACATGATTGTTCTAAGAGACTGAGCCCACCATCGCATTTTGCATCAAATGGCCATTTTGGGTCAATTCCTAATGTTTGGTTGTGATTCTCACATTCTTGCAGGGGTGTTTTTATCTGAAATTTTCAGCTGCACTTGTTTAAGAAAATGTTTCTAGCCAGGCATTTCTCTTTTGGTAAACTGGTAACCTTCATTGTTCAAAGAAAAAGTTGTAAGAGAATGTGAACACTTAAGGTGTCACCTATTAACTGCATCACACAGTGAATTATAATGAGAATGAATACTAAAAGTGAGCCCAGGTATTACTCCTACTATATGTTAGACAAAGTTGCATCTGCCACCTGCCTTTGCTTACAGCATGGTGGTGGTAGAAGCCAAGCAGAAAGAAGCTGAAAATTAAGTCTAAAGGTCTGTCTGGGTTGGTGGTAAGGGTGAGGACACTTGTTCTTTACCAGGACTGTTGGGATAGTGTTAATGGTGTGAGGGTACTGTAATGATAGTGAATGTGAAAACATACACAGAGACTACTGTGGTGGGACAGGTACAGATGATTATGGGAATATGAGAAGGGCTGATGTGATCTATAATATAAGCAGGGCAGAAGAGATACTGGGGATAACATGACTGCCCCGCTCCAGCCACGATGGTTGATTTCTGCTCTTCCTGCCTCTTCTTGGTAGGCAGGTGCTCAGCCTTCCTGAGGAGACTAGAAGCAAATCTGTCAGGCTGCTGAGGTGCAGGGAAGCCAAGGTCCATCAAAAGCTATGCAGAAACCTTGTCGGCTGGCTAGGAAAGTGCCAGCCTTGCCCAGCAGCTGCTGTGCTCCCTTCACCACTGAGATGGGAAAGAAGGGAGGCTGAGAGAGGGAGAATGGAGGGACCCCCAACTCTGCGTCATGGTGCTAAGTCACTAAAGGTGTTTTCCTGCTTCTGTAGAGCACCTCTCTGCTTGAGAGCCAGTGCTCATGGTGAAACACTTGGGCACAGATAGGATGAACTTCTATTGTAACCTATTCTATTGGGTTACAAAAGTACATAGTACAGCATACAGCCTATAGCTAGCAAAAGGTGATGTTGGATTGGGCTGATGTTCTCATGAGGTAGGAGTATTTTTTTGTGTTAAATTAAATCTTTGTGACAATTAGCAAAGGCAGCCAAGAAAAATGGTGCTGAGTTTGGTGCAGAGCTTTTGATGATGTTGGGCTTCATGCATGAGCAGAGAACAGGCTTGCTCAAAAGCTAGCACGCACCAGTGCTGGTCCTATTATAGACAATTCTTCTGTCACAGACAATTGCATGCTGCCTTTTCTGATTTGACTCCCAAATCTTCGTTCGCGAAGCCTAGCCATGAAATCTGAAATCTCAAAGTATGTTTTCTTTTCATTTTCACTTGTGTGTTTTCGGTTTGCTTTTTTTTTTCTTTCTTTTTTTTTTCTTTTTTCCTAAGCCTGACCTCCCTGTGAACTTTTGATCTGGGCTGCTTTTCCCTCACTCCTGGCACACTTGTATATAAGGCAGCTGGTGATGGATGTTGCCCAGACTGCTCCGTGCCCAGCTGTCTGGGGTTTGGCATGTTTGTCTTAGCAGAGAAGAATTAATACATGCAATTAAAGAAATCCCAGAATCACAGATTTGTTAGGGTTGGAAAGGACCTCTGAAGATTACCTAGTCCAACCCCCCTGCCAAGGCAGAGTCATTTAAGGCAGGTTACACAGGAACTCATCCAGGTAGGTTTCAATGTCTCCAGTCAGGGAGACTCCATGCCTTCCCTGGGCAGCCTGTTCCAGTGCTCTGCCACCCTCAGTGTAAAGTTCTTCCTCATGTTAAGATGAAACTTCTTGTGTTTTACTTTATAGCCGTTAATCCTCGTCCTGTTGCTGGGCACCACCGAAGACTCTGGCACCATCCTCTTGGCACCTGCCTTTGAGATATTTATATGCATTAATGAGATCCCCTATCAGTCTTCTCTAAACTAAACAGGCCCAGCTCCCGCAGTCTCTCCTCATAACAGAGATGCTCCAGACCCCTCATCATCTTTGTGGCCTCTGCTGGACCCTTCCAGTAGCTCTATGTCTCATACTGAGGAGCCCAGACCGGGACACGGTACTCCAGCTGTGCTCTCGCTAGGGCCGAGCAGCGGAGCAGGATCATCTCCCTCAACCTCCTGCCCAAGCAGATGAGGGATGCTCTGCACCGCCCCGGTCCGAGAGACCCACCCGTGCCCTCTCGCCGCCACTCCGGCTGGGCAGAAGCGAGAGAGCCCGTCTCGCTCCCCCCCTTCGCTGGGCGGCCCCGAGCGCAGCCCCGCCCGCGGGCGGAGCCGCCGTGACCCGGCACCGCCGGAACCCCGTGGGCGGGCGGCGGCCGCGGCGCTGCCCCCGCGCTGCGGGAGGCCGGGAACGAGCGGCCACCGCCATGGGAGCGGAGCAGAGCGGCGAGGCCGAGAGCCGCCCGGGCGAGCCCAGCGCCGCAGGTCGGTGCCCGGCGCCCGGCAGGGATGGGGGGGGGGGAAGAGGGAGGGAGGCAGGGAGGGAGACAGAGACAGGGCGCCGTGAACGGGGCTGCCCCCCGGCGAACGGGGCTGCCCCCCGGCGAACGGGGCTGCCCCCCGGCGAACGGGGCTGCCCCCCGGCGAACGGGGCTGCCCGCGGGCGGTGGCGAGGGGCGGCGGCTGTGGATCAGGGAAGAGCTGTTTCCTTGGGAGGCAGCGGTGGGCGCCGGCCCGGCCCTTCCTGTGACGGCGAGGGGGCACCGCCCGGGCCGGGGGAGGCAGAGCCGGAGAGGTGGGAGCACAGTGGGCAATGTGGGTGTGGAGCTAAAGGAGGAGGAGTGAGGAGGGTGTCAGTGGTGCAGGTGTTTCAGAATCAGCTGTTACCCGATTTGGAAAGCGAGAAAGGAGCTTAGAGTCTTCCGGTGATCTCGGTAATGTGTTTGTACTATAAAAAGCATATCTGTACAATGTTAAATAGAGCAACATTCACATAGGGTTGGATTCTGATGGAATCTGCTTATTAATTTGATTGTTCCCTTTCCCTCCCATATCCTTCCTTTGCATCTCCTTTGCCAGCCAAGCAACGCGCAAAAATGGACGACATTGTGGTGGTAGCCCCAGGAACACAATCCTCACGGAATGTCAGCAATGATCCAGATGTCATAAAACTGCAGGAAATTCCAACTTTCCAGCCCCTTTTGAAAGGTAGGTGATCGTTCTTCCTCTGTTTTTAAAAGCCATCTTTTTTTTTTTTTTATACCTAATGGAATGTGTGCTTTGTGTATCCTGAGGTTCCTACTGAAGTTCATATTTCTGTCCCTATTTTTCACTATCCCTCTTGTTTTAAACCTTACTTTCTTTTGTTCTGTCCCAGCCTTCTAAATGGTGGATGAACTGGTTTAGAGATGTGCTAGTAATCTCTGCAGTGGAATCATCTACTATGAAGACAAAAGAGTTCCGAACATACCAGCTTGCCCTGTACCACTGGTTGATGGGATATGCTATATTACATTCTGATATATAATGGATCACAGTCTCCAGTTTTGCTCTAGTTTCTTAAAATCAGTTGTGTGTTACTCTCTCAGAGTCATAACTACCTGTGTATGCATTCAGTTTTTTGAAATCAAGATATCTTACGGGAGTTTCCAACATAGAGCAGATTTTGCTCTTGTTTTTTTGGGGTGGGATACATTGACTGAGGCTTTTCTTTGTTTCTTTTCCTCACACTGTTTTTTTCGTACATCCCCTGCACTCATTACATGTTCTTTCTATTCTGTTCAAAGGGAAGTGAAGATTTCAATCAAAACTGTCAAGCCTACAGTGTAACAAAACTCTTTGTGCATTTTGTGGCCTGGCTTCTAGCTATGTATTTTTTGAGGAGTCTGCACAGTATCATTAGTATCTGAAAGTCCCTTAGGAAGGGAGATGTCTGCACAAATTGGTTTGGTAAAAGCAGCCTCCTCTTGGGTTCCTCTCCCTGGTACAGTGTGGGTTGGCAAATCTGTGTGGATGTACTGTGTAGTGGACCCTCAGTGAGCCTGTGTTTTTTTGGAAATGCAAGGCCTGCTGTGTGTGCATACATGGGCATCAGCACTTGCTCGTGCCTTGCAGGTCTGCTATGACAGAGAGGATGGAGCTGGGATGTTTAGCCCTCCCTACTGCTGGAAGAAATTATGTGGTGGTGTACAGCTGAGGGTTTAGGTCACTGATTCATGCATGGCTGCCGGGAAGTTATTGGAGCCACTTTGCCCTAAAGGCATCACTAGAGGTAACGTAGCATCACAACATCACTTTTTGGCCAGAAAGTTGTTACCTTTTTTTGTTTGTTTATGTCTGCTACATGAGGACCCTGGAACATGACTATAAATTGTGGACATTATGACAGCCTATCAGGCAAAGGAATTGCCATTTTGTTGGGTACTGATAGATAGGGTCTAGAAGTCTGCAGCACTGACTGCTGTTTTCAGCAGAAGAGGCAGAGAGGTAGGGAGAGCATTAAACAAAGCAGAGCATGCTTTGGCTGTAAAGCAAATGCTTTGTCCTGCTTTGTTTGTAAGGATCATGCCAGCGACAGCTTGAAATGTAAATGCTAGAACCCAAATCCACAAAAGAAATGAGAAAGTTTCTTATTAGGAGAGACCAAATTTCGAAGATGCTACAGTATCTGGCACAGAGGTGGTTGCGTATGTGTAAGAATGCGATGACAAAGGATTTCAGTTCCACCCAGCCTCAAACTGGTGAGCAAACCTGGGTTGCACAAGGCCTGTGGAAGGAAGTCCTGGGAAGTGGGACTAATGACCACTTCCAGGGGCAGTGTTCTTATATATGTGTTTGGGTCACAAGGATATAGGACTTGGTGTGGGAAGTGAGGAAGAAGAGAGAGCAGCAGCCATGTGGCTGAGATGGAAAAATTGGAAGGCACTGCCTTAGATGACCAGTCCAGGTCCTTCATCTCCTAAACATGCATGTGTTGTCTTGGTGACTGTGTTGCTTTCTCTGGTCTTACTTTGGACCTGAAGCTGTGGATGTATGACAGAAATCTTCCTTTCTGTTCCTGTCACTTGGCCTGCTATTTCCCTAGAGTCTCCTGAGACTTCGTGGTATCTGGTGACTGCTCAGGAGTTTTGCATCCTGAATCGCTTTTGTGAATAGCTTTTTCAGCCTCAAGTACTTGTTATTACTTGGACAACCAGACTGTGATACTTATGTTCAGTACAAAAAGCAGTGTGTGCCTGTTGAGTGAGTTGACTCTTGAGGGACTACACATCTGCCACAGGCCCAGTTGAGAAGCTGTTCTGTTTTGGACTGGTCTCTTATCTGTATTCTTCACATGAAAGATTATTTGTCTGGAAAGGCTGAAGAAGTTTCAAGGTTTTAGGAGCTAATTCTAAAAACTTGTGCCTTGTGATCTGCCAGCTTGGGGAGCTGAAGAGGTGAACTTAGATTCCCTGTAGGCTTCATTATTCTATTTAGTTTCTCTTTGTCTAAGCAATGCCAAGCAGTTTTATTTTGCTTATAAGTCTCAAAAGAGGCCTAATAATTAAATAAATGGACTGGAAAAGCACATGGTCATGTAAAACACTGCATGTTCCTGAGAGGCAAAAACACTTGTTCCTCCTAGCCATATTGAGTTGAGCTTGTGATCAATGAAGCTGAAAATCTTTAGCATTGTGCACTCTTCACTTGGAAGAATATGCCAGTGTTATATCCATTACATCTTTCATACTATATTTTCCTCAACTTCTACAGGAAAAAATTGTACCTTAGAGTTACAACTATGAGCCCTTGTGAAAAGTCCCTCTCTAGCTTTCTTGTAGGCTCCCTTCAGGTACTGGAAGGCTGCTATAGTGTTGCTCAAAGCAACTTGACCATGAAGACCCCTCATGATGAGGCATCCACAACTTCTTTGGGCTACCTGTTCCAGTGTCTTGCTACCCTCATCATAATAAAATTTTCTTCCTTATGTCCATTCTAAACCCACCCTCTTTCAGTCTAAAACCATTTTCCCTTGCCCTTTCATTACAGGCCCTGGTAAAAAGGCTCTCTGTCTTTCTTAACAAGCATTATTTGTTCTATGGAAGCTTTCTTGGGAACGAAATGTTTTCCTACTTCTGGCTAGAATTCTGCATTGACAAGTATTCAGCATGAAAAAGCAAAAGAAACAGGGATTACTGTCTCACTGCAAAGTCACTGTGCGAGCAGCAGAAGCTTCTTTACACTGTTGTGCCTCCTCCCATCCTCACAGAATTTTGCAGTTATTTTGCTTTCCAATCTCGTTTCGCAGTTCTTCAGGTCAACCTGGTGGTATTGCGACCATTAGGTTGGATATTAGGAAGAAATTCTTTACAGATAGAGTAATCAGGCATTGGAATGGGCTGCCCAGGGAAGTGGTGGATTCTCCGTCCCTGGAGGTTTTTAAGATGAGACTGGATGTGGCATCAGTGCCATGGTCTGGTAACCATGGTGGTAGTGGATCAAGGGTTGGACTTGATGATCTCGGAGGTCCCTTCCAACCTGGCTGATTCTATGATCCTGACTGGTTGACAAAAGCTGCCAGATAGGCAGTGAGTATCAGCTTCTGCTAACAGGGCAGGGAGGACTATGACTTTCCTCTAGGTGGGTCTTGTACATTAAAATTAACCTGTAATTAAAACAACACCTGTAGTAACTAGAAAAAAACTTTTTGTCACCAGTCACCTGTAAATATTGGCTTTGTTTTTGTGCTGCCATTTTACTTGTCCTGTCCTCCTTGTTTGAAGGAAGCAGTTACCAACATCCCTTGGAAGCACAAGTGATACTGAGTACTGAGCATAAGTGGTACATACTGTGAGTTCTGAATATGGGCTTGCAGTTATTTGAAGTTAAGTCAGGAGCCTTGTTTTGTGTTCTGAGTTATCTATGGAGGAAATCTCAATACTAAAAAAATAATTTTAATGCTAGACTTTTAATTGTTGAAGCTGTTGCTACTGCCTGCTTGGCCTGCTGCACAAGAACGTGATGATAATTTTCTTTTTGTTTTGTTTTGTCCGATGGTCTTTGGATTGTTGCGTACAAGTTTCCATGAGAGCAGGGATTGTTTCCGTGTAAGCAATGTGCTGATATGCAGCTGAAGACTGTGGCTTATGAATAGTTCAGCTACGTCATGTGCAAATTGCATTTGTCATCACGTGCAGCAAGCATATCATAGGAACTCCCTGATCCCTCCAGCATTGAGAGGAAAAAAGCGGAGTTTGCTGAGGCTTACCTGCATTCCCAAGCATATCACATAGGTGAGAGGCATCTTCTCTGCAGACCTGCAGCAAGTTACTTGTGCACTCCGTTCCTCTGTCAAACATAGATGGTCTTCATGTTGTAGCCTTAGGAAGGGCATTGTGTGCAGCTCATTAGCATCTTCTAGCCCAAAATAACCGGATTCTTGTCCTACGAATAATACCACTGTTTTTCTAAGAATAGCAAAGCAGGGGAGGTTACTCAGTAAGGTTGTGGCATTTCTGTTCTTAATGCTTTTAAGGGCACGTTAATCAAAGATCTATCAGTCATGAATTGGAAGTAAGTGAATACATTATGGCTAACACAGTGAGATCTTTACTAACTATGCCCATTACTTTACTGCCCATTATGCATATTTACGTTGCTTTGTTATCTATCAAGAAAGGTATTTCACAAAGAACAAAATGAGACCTTTACTCTGAAAAGTCTAGAGTACAGTTTACCTGAAAATAGTGTAACAAGGAAGCCCAAGTTCTGTGGCAGAAAGAGTCTTGAAAGATAGATCCAGCATAAGGAGTGCCATTTTGATCTCAGTATATTTTAAAGGGAAAATTTGACGATGTTATTTTCATTATAGCTGGTGTATGACTTCAGCAGAGAAGCATAGGGAGATGATGAGAAATCTGTGAGAGAGAACAGTGGTAAAAGTTGTGATGCTGTACTGATGCTGCGGGGATCTTGTGTTGTCCTCCAATGACATGAAACATAAGCTTGTGTTAGGCAGCTTGAAAGGATTGTTTTTACCTTTCAACTTTTTATGATGTCATTTTTCAGGAAGGAAAACTACTTTTCTAAAAAATGTATTTTTCTTTCTGGCATAGTGTGTAGAGGAAGGATGGATGTTTAGAGTTTTTTGCATTTAAGACAAGATTTTGTCAGATCTCACTCCTCAGGATTTTCTGCTGACTTACATCCTCTTTTTTCTCCCGTTCATCACTTTATGCTCCTAGTCCTGTTTACTGTGTAGGGAATTTAGCTAATAGCACGTGTTAGTGAACTTTATTCCTATAATTCTCTACACATTGTGATACTTCAATACTTTTATAGTTCTGTCCCTGTGCCTTACTGGGAGGATCTGCTTTTTGCAACACTTGACAGTACTGCTGAGGGTATAGGCCTCAACCAGAATTTGCAACATCCAAGTTTGTTGGATGGACCCCGTGCTTTGTTCTTATAACAAGGTCTCTGAAAATGTGCATGTTGGGTGGGAAGAAATACCAAGAATAATGTGAGTGCAGCTGCCTGGTGGGTTTGGGGATTTTAATTGTTGTTTTGTTTGTTAATGGGGTTGGTTTTTTTTTTGTTGTTTGTTTGTTTGTTTTGTTTTGAAATCTGTTCTACGCCACTTGGTATAATTTGTGTGACCCTTGAGCTCCAGTTTCTGCTGAACCTAAACAGCTGTGACTCCTCTGGACCTCCTCAGGCATGTATTGCTCCTCCTCACCATCTTGCTGCATGTGAATAAGCTTTGGTGGTCATCACAAGTCACCTGCAGATTCTCCTTTCTTTACTTTCACAGAGCTTCTGTGGCAGAGCTCTTCAGCTCACAGTTCAGCTCTCAGGGTGCAACTACCCTTTGGATACATTAGAAGATGTGCTGAGGATAAATACCGCGTGCTAAGGAGTTAACCGTGTCCTGGCTTATCAGTTTGCCACATGCTTTTTAATGAGGAGTACCTGCATGTTGGCCAATGTACCTTGAAATCACTATTAACTGGTTAAGGTGAAATGAAAATAGTTGCTTGTAATATCCAAAATATACAGTGTAATTACAAATGTTTACAGAACACGTAATCTCTTTATGTCGGGAGGAGATTGGAAATCAGATGCATCTGGTTGATAAGGTAGAGAAGCTAGTGCGTTCTGCTGGAGTGCAGCTGATGAATCCTTCTAGACAAGGATAAGCAAGTGATGAGGAAGCACATAGAGAACTTTTTTTTTCCAAATTTTGCATTCTCAGAGGAATTCAGGCATCAAAATCGGAATAGATTTTTTTCT